TATTATATTATATTATATTATATTATATTATATTATATTATATTATATTAGGAATTATTCATCACTTCAACCTGATTATCTTTCATATTCAAGAAGTAATCTGAGATATTAATTCTAATCACCTTAGACTTAGTTTTTAACAATAATACTAATAATATAATTGTTGTGATAATAGTAATGTAAAATATCAATCTATACCAATGACATGTCATTAAGTAATACATAGCAACAAGAAAAAACAGATTGAAGAGATTGGATAAAAAATCTGGATAATAAGAACAGAAAAAAATTTTTATCTAAATAACAAATGAAATGAAGGACTGATACAAAATGTAATAAAATGTATACTTTTTTGTATAATATCTATTTATTGAATTAAGACAGATGTAATTAAATAAGTTATTTAATAATATAAATAAGTTATTTAATAATATAAATTAGTTATTTAATAATAATTAAATATTATTAAAAATATAAAAATTATATAAATATTATTATATAAATATTATTAAAAATATATATATAAATATTATTAAAATATATAAATTAAATAAATATAATTATAATACTATTATATAACTCAATATAATATTGGTAAATATTATATAAAATTGGTATAAATTATTATATTCAAATAGTGTTATATGCTATTATTATAAATATTGAATACTGATACTTATAATAATGAAATCCAATACAGAAATTTAGAAAATTATGAAATTATAATGTTATACACATAAAGGTACACAATTTTTTTCCTGTCGAAAAAGGTATACAATATTTTTGCTGTTTTTATCTGCTCGTCCTTTGAATCGTGAAAAAAAATTTCCAAGACAAAAGTTATTTTCTTCAATTCAGACAATCTTGCGATAAAAGATTTGTTTAATTATTATAACTAAAAACAAAGGTTTCATCAGTAGTGATATGTTTGTGAGATATAAAAAAGCAAAAATCGCTGGAACTCACCTTTAATGATTTTGATGATGAGTATTATCAAGATTACTCTCTTGACATAACCTCGAAAACTTTTTTCTACTGCTCGTTGTACTCTAAAAAACGATATTAACAATTAGATCATTAATTGTTGATTAATTGATTGGTGACGAGTATAAAAATATTAGTTTTCACCTGCTAATTTCTCCGTGTCGAAAAGTTAATGGGAAAGTTTTGAGAAAATTATGATAATTTCTTATGGTGAATTTCCTGAATTCAGAAGATGACTTTAAGCTCTTACTAAGACTATTGAGTATTCTTTTTAAACTGATTAATCTATTACTAAGGCACCTTGAATGTCACTGTTGCATTATTAAATTAATATAACATATGACATATGTGAAGATCAAGGCCATTGGTAATAGGCTTTCTAAATAGCAATTTTAGTAATAAAAATTAATCTACATTATTGTAATTTTTTAACATTTATCTAATCTTATATTTTAAGTTTTCTTATATTCGATATTAGTCAGTGATTTGAACTAATTGCAGTTTGATTAATTACTCTAAAATGTAAAAAATGACAATTGTACATTATTACAAAGTGAAGAATCTTTAAATTTCTTCATTTTTTTAAATTACATTTTTTTGAATGCACCATTTTTCTTCTGTTTCCTGTACAACATGTATAATTACATATATTAATGTTAAATTTTATTATATGTATTTGTAATGAAATTACACTCCATTTGCAACTAGTATGTTTTAAATCATTCAATGACTAATTTATGTTCTATTAAGATTTACATTGTGTATTACTACATTGGTATTTTACTCTATAAATTATGAAGATAGGGAGATATATTAGAAAGATAGGATTAAAAAACGTGAGTATAGTATATAGTATTAAAGATAGGGTTAAAAAATGTGAGTATAGTATATAGTATTAACTTCAATAATTGCGTTGCAAACATGGTATATAGAAATGACATTGTATCATTTGAACGAATCGTTTTCCTCATTTTTCTCAATGAAGAATTTGATAAAAATTTACAGATTATCCAATCGTTCATGTGACAATAGCAAGATGATCTCCAAAGATGGATGATTTGTTATTAGATTCTAAAAGCAGTTTTATTATAAACAAAAACATATTAAAACATAATTGCAGGAAATATAATTAGAAACGTAATCATTTCATGAACAATGACTTTTAAATCAACCATGATCTTTGATTATGACTTTATTTATTGTATTCTACTGCGTTAACTTTATTGTGCTCTATCGAATTGGTATTAAATTCGTGTTTTACATTTATATTAATATAATATAATTAAATATTAACGTTAAATAATAATTCATTTGACATTAATCACAATCTTCAATTATTAATCAGATTATTTGATTACCCAATTCCACTCATGAACATATGAATATTAATCGTATTAAAAAATATATATATATATAAATCAAAAGTTTTCATCCTCTGATGAAAGTAAATTGGGAGTGGCAAACATAATGGCGCCAGACGCAGGGATAGTTATCGAAGCCGATGAAACAAAGGTACCCGGACGAAGATCAGAATCACCAATAACGGTATGAACTATCAAGTCCGAAGGGAATGGCAACACAGTCTCAGCGTCTACAGTGATAGGTACATCGATGAAACCGAACAACACGAATATCCTATCTCTCCCGTACGTGCGCATAACACACAAAATCCTTGAATCACACAGGGTGATATTCAGGGAGCCATGCGCGATAACCGGCCGTTTCTTCACCCTCATTGACTTCTTGAATGTCTCGTATTGCGTGTAATATATGTCTCTTTGAGCTTCCAGATTCAGTGTCTTGTAATTCGAATGCACAGGTAGCCAAGTTTTCGCTTTAGTAGAAAAACCGGCGCTGGTGCTGTTGTTCCATTGGAACGGCGTTCTCGCGGGATCTCTAGATTTCAAGTAGAATCTGTTGCGACCGGCGTTGCAACCGGCCGGGTCCACCGTCTCCGCGTACGTGAATTTCCTGTCCACCATGCCGATCTCGTCGCCGTTGTAAATCACCGAAATTCCAGGCATAATCATCGACATCAAGATAACATCGTGGGCCCGTCTACTACCGAATCTCGTGGCCACCCGATGATTGTCGTGATTGCCAACAACCCAATTCGGAACGCTGCCTTTCGGCACTGTTCTCACCCACTTGTCGATCAGTGTTTTATAGTCTATCGCTTTAGACTTGTTGTTCAGCTGATTGATGAACATGAAATTAAAGGGGACGTTGGAGCCAGCG